AGATCAAGGGATGGCACATCAAGAAACACCTTAAGAAAGCTGTAAATGAAAAACTCGTGGGGAAGGTTGAAGATCAACATTGGCAAGGAAGTCTACTGAAAGCAAGATGGCAGGATGATCAATTAAGTCATGAAGTTTGCTTTGCATGGCTTAACAAGTGGGTAAGCGCCCCTACCCATTGTACTGCAGGCATTATGGAATTGTACGAACAGCTAACCCCAACGAGAGTCTACACCGCCTACAAGACGGGAACAACAGACAAGAATAATGTCACATGCAGAATGTGCGGCAAGGGTTACGAATGTCTGGCACATGTACTGGCTGGATGTCCGTCTCTTGCACAGTCCAAATACCTGGATAGACACAACGCTGCTTTGAAAGTGTTTTTCTTTGAGATGCTAAGAGATCTCAAACTGGCTGATAGTACATGTATGTACGATCTAATCGTGTGAACGCGCGTTTCACTGACCACAATAACAAGAAAGTACTCATGGTGGAAATGAGCTGTCCGTGGGTTAACAACCGAGAAAAGAAAGACAAAGAGAAGACGAAGAAGTATGGAGCACTTAGACTTGAGCTCACAAAACAACACCCAGGATACACGATCTTGCAAGTGATCCTCATTTTGGACGCTCTTGGAGGATGGTATAAAGAGATGGAGCCTGAGATGAAGAATATCTTTGGAGCAAGATACAAAGATGTATTACTTAGAATGCAGAAAGCGGTATTAAGCTGCACAGTGAACATTGCAAGAACATTTAAACTAATCACATCTTAAGGACATTTCAAACATTCTAAGTATTTAAACTACATCTTGAGAACATTAATAATTGGCTTTAAGTGATTGTATATATTATTAGTCCTGTCATGCTGGTAGGTTACGAAATTACGCCCTATCTAGCTTACCTAATTGGCATTCAAACGTGTTTACTGATAATAATAATAACAATAATAATAATAATGATAATAATAATAATAATAATAATAATACTGTGATTGTGATAATGCTAACATAATAATGATGATGATGATGATGATGATGATACATTTTACTAAGTATCTCAAATCTGATTGGTCGAGGGCCCTCAGCCAATCCCAGATATCGTGTGAACTCGACATACTACAGATAATACATTTATCATGTCAAGTTCATTCAAGGTCACGCTGTGGTAGCTTTCTTTTTATTCATTATGTGTATTTATTTCCAGAACTATGTACAAAAACAATTATTTAAGGAATCCTTAACTTATTTCCATATATTTTATGAAGAAGTTTTGTAGCGATCGTCTACGTGGATATAGTATAGACTCGGGAGGCCAGTGCTCGTGGTTATGTACCGGCTGTAGCATTCGACGTGATCGGATTTGAAGAGCAGCTGTAAGCCAAAAAAAAAAAGAAAAAAAAAGAAGAAAGGGCCGGGAAGCATACCATCCTTCTCAATTTCGATAGTGAACTTTTATGATGCGTAATATACTTAAAGTCATATACACGTCCATTCTAAGTTGGTCTTCTCAGTTGTTACCGCTCATTTACTCATCTGTTATGTTATACAGATTTAGCAAGACTTGTTTCGTTGATAGCGATGGTTTTCCTACTTGTGATGCCTGCCCCGTTGGCTATACTGGAAGGAAGTGTGAGAGGTAATTATGTGTACTGAAAAAAAAAAAAAAAACTACATGTTGAAGTATACTCTTTTCATCTTCCACGGTAGTCTCTATTATCCTCGAAGGGCCTGATACTACACTCAGGATACTCCTAGTCGTTCTTTCGTTAATAATTTTTGTCCTTATTATTTTGTATTTTGATGTTTTGTAGATGCATAGATCCTTTTGTTGGGAACCCTTTGGTCGTTGGCGACTTCTGTAAATTTGGTGAGATCATAATAAGCAAATCGTCCTATGATGTTTCAAATATTTCCAGTTAAGCATTTTTCTTGTTGAGCGGGTTCATAAGAACCAAGAAGATGCAGTTTCTAGTTCCTTTCTCCTTTCTTGTGAACTTTTCCTTATATCTAGGCTGTGTTCATAATGTATGGCAGAGGAGGGTGGCAGGTGAAAATTTGAAATGTCCAGAATAATTCTTAACACCCCCCCTTAAAGTCATGCAAAAATATACGATCCCCCCCTAAGCAAGGCTTGTAGCTTCTTCCAAAAATTGTGCATCCTCCCATTTTCCTGATAAAAATGTGCCCATCCCCCCTTTTTCCTACCAAAATTTTCCCCATCCCCCATCTGCCATACATTATGCCCTATTATATATGGGTTATTTTATATCTATTTTTTTGCTGGCGTGTTATACTTTGTCAGTGTTTTTTTCACGTTGTAGTTTTTGGTTTTTCTTGTTAGAAGCATTTTGCGCCTTGCTTTTTTCTCTTCTTTTCTTCAAGTCTGGTCATCATGTAATTCACGTTTGTTAACTAACATTGGTTGTGTTTATATTCATTAGAGGAGGATTGTGGATGCGATCCAAGAGGAACAGTAAACAACACTTGTGACCCTTTCACTAGGCAGTGCTTTTGTAAGGTAATATTACACAAAACTGTCGTTGCACTTTAATTTTGCTATTTTGGAAAATGAAGTTTCGCGAATATGAAATGACGCGGCATTACTTGCACTGTATTGGGTACCTTTTGCTCTTTCTATGCGTGATGCCGCAACATATTCTCCTTCGAATAGAAGTAATTCGTTTGTTTTAACTGCTATATCTAACTGGTAAGATGAACTATCGACGTTATGATTTTCCTCCAACTTCTCTTCTGCTTAATTCTTTGATATTTTGTTGAGCTTTGAAGTGAATTCTGTCATAAATTGTCTGAACTTCAAGAGTTTTCGAAACAAAAGACGACTTCGACTTCGATGGAGTCAACTAAAGCTACAGAAACACGCTGCAACATTGCGCGCAATGTTGCATGCAATGGATGTTGCAAGATGACACACGACGCAATTTGTTGCACGCAACGTTGCTGAAGTAGAAAACTATCCTACTTCAGTAATTACATTGCCTGCAATGTTGTGCGCTATGTTGCACCGTGTGTCCGCTCCTTAATCAAATTTTAAAATGGGGCTGACGGTTTTTTTCCCGAGGAAGCTTTCGACCTACGATCGAGTGTTTAAAGTGCTACTTGGACGAAAATCGCTCCAAAATTAAAGATCTTTTAATTGAGCTCGATTTCTGCTGAAATAATCTTGGATATATTAATAATCACTCACTGAAATGTCTTTCTGATATTTAAAAAAAAAAGTATTTCTAGCCAGTATAATTCAAAATCATAGTGGCTATTTATATTAACACAGAGTTAGAGCAATATATATATTCGTAGCACAGAGATTACCGGTATAAAAACACTTCAATTATAATATGGAACTTCTTTGACCGTACTCGCGGTGAACACTGTAGAACTTGAGCAAGAAATTTAGCGACGGCTTCTGAAAAAAATTACGGATCAATCCAGTGTTCTAGAATTCCCTCATCTACAGGTTCTAAAAACTTCCATTCGCTGTCCTCATTAACTTCTAAAATATCAAATATTACTTCCAAATCGTCTACGAATACGAACGCTTCACTATCATCCACCATAATAATTTGTTTTGATTGAGTGCACGGTCAGTGTCACGTGATGGTTCTGTTCAATACCAAATGTGAAACAATAGACCGGACCTTTGAAGTTTGCCGGCTTTCATGGTTGCAGTAATACTGACGATCACAATTTATGGAATTTCAATACATATCTCTCCTCTAAGAATTAATCGCGGTTTTTATGATACAATTAGAACGGCATGTGCTAAAACCCGGAAAGAAACGACCGGAACTGTTACTGTGGAACTACCAGAACCATCGAAACGAGTACCAAAACCAGAAATTAGTAAAAAGCCGAAAAAGAATAAAATTATACAGCGTGTTATATCCCAACAGAAGCGGAATGATATTTCTTTTGGATTTTATAGTACGCATAAAAAGCGAGCAAATTAACAGCCAATCTCGAGCTTGAAATAAAGCCAAATAAAATAATAACAGTATTTAGCACCAACTTCTTATATCTGTTACTAAAGGTTAAGTTTCTTAATGACTAGTACTTGCTTGTTGTATATTTAGGGCAGTCATGAATCGCAAAGACTCATACGAGGTCAACATCGTAATGATACAGAAAAAAATAAGCCTATACTTTAAAAGCAATGGTGTTTTGGCCCTTTTGGAATCGAAGGTCAGTATCATGCATCTAGTGAACACCAGATTTTTATGATTCCGCTAACATACAGAAGCACAAGGTGGTAAGCCAATCAAATCATCGAACTCAGTCCCTGCAGACATTTGATTCTTGCATAAACAATGACTTTCTATTTTTTTTCTTCTTATGCTTCCGTCACATTCATTTTTGCTTACGTTTCCGTCGCTTATGTCGCTAGTGAAAACCAGCCATAACAATCTGGTTTTCACTAGCGACGTAAGGACGGAAGCAGAAGCAGAAGCATAAGAAAAGGAAACCTTCCGTTCCTTCTGCTTCTGCTTCCGCTTCTGCTTCCATCGCTAGTGAAAACTAGGCCTAAGAGAAACCAAAAAAGTTATGAGGAGCATTGAAATAACATAAAAATGACTCCCTGAAAGTCGTATATATTATGAACTGAAAAATTCATAGGATTCGTTAGATTTCCCCCACTTGGTTGTTTCCTCGGCAGAAATTCTGAGTTCTGATGAAATTCGGCCGAAACAAAAAATATCCTCGATTTATTACCGGATATTTATAGACAGTAATTAAACATGAATTTTTTAAATCTATAACATTCACTGTAAAGAATACATTATTTGCCGTATGTAACTAGGCTCTTAGCGCCTTACTTTACTTTATTGTGATCTATCGCCAGTTTGCCAATCGATTTGCAATTTGCTTTAAGTAAATTGTATTTAAACCGCTACTCATTGGGGTCGGAAACTAAGCCATACATAGGCGGATAGGAAAAAAATGTGGATACAATAGCCAGCATACACTTTAAGAAGAAGAAGGAATCAAAGAAAAGGAATAGGGGGAGAAGGGTTACTTTATACATTTCGATGGTTGCGATCGCTGTTTTGGGTTCCGATTGTCGTTACAGTGGTTCCGACAGTAACCGTTTCGGTCGTTCCGGTGGTTCCGGTGGTTCCGGCGTAACGGTTCCGGTCATTTCGTTCCGGTGTTTCGGGTTTTAGCAAATGCCAGGCTTGAATCACGACCCTCCTCATAACAGACCGACGCTCTTACCAACTGAGCTAACCGGGTGGCGGTAGTACAGACCAAGATATAATACAAGTCAAGGTAATCTGAAAAGGTGTTTTGTAGTATTCAATTCAGAATTTCCATATTACAAACTCTTAGTATATCCCTCACAGAAACACAGCACGGGCTACCTGTGGTTTTGCCAACACCTTAGTGACGAGCGAGTGACACATTCGCATTAAAACCGTCGAAGAGAATATAAGTATTATCTTTTGTCAAAAGACCATGATACAGAATTCCCGAAAAGTTATTTTTAGGTCGTGCGTACTCCTTAGGAACACTTTTACGTTTCCGGTGCAGGGTCGTTTGAAGCAATATGGCGGCCAATGTTAAAGTGAAAACTCGAAGTTTGTAACTTAAAATTTATCAAGCAGATTTTTTCATAACCGTACCGGCATGACCAAAACTCTCAACTTGTTAGCATTGAGCCCGTTTACATCAGCAATGCGGCGTCGCGCAAAAATATGAACAGATTGCGGTGCCTTACATTTGGCGAAATATTTAAATTTAAGAAGAAAAATATTCACAATTAAACAATAGAACTCACAAGTGAAAATTAAAGGGTGATAATTTCACATGTGAATGAACTACATGTGATGTTATAGTTATATCTTTATTTTTACAATATCTTACAAATTTCTCGCGCGTTGATTGGTTATTTTTTATCATCAATAAGAGGACAGACAGATAAAGCTGACGTCATCGAGCGCTTATTTTGATCAGTAAAAATGAGAAGTTTTTATCGTTTTTGTTATTATAAAAAACAAATAGACATTAGTTTTTTATGTGTCTGTCCTCTTATTGACAATAAATCTCGTCATCACATTGTGAAAGTAGTATGCGGATCCACTCGGCTACGCCTGGTGAATCCACACTACTTTGACAATGTGATGACGCAATTTATCGTCAATGTGAGGACAGTCACATAAAAAAAACTGATGTCTATTTGTTAAATGATGTTCAACGCCATCAAATTGCCAATTTGACCACAAATTATAACAGGGGGGATTTAAATCTATTTTGAGTTATGCAATACATATATACATATGTAATGAGAGTGCAAGATATTGAATGAGATGCAAAACTTAAAATAAAATATATGGTCTTCCGCCTTATCTGCTATGGTATCAGAGACAGACGTATTGCACAAACTCAAGTTAAACAAATATTTTCCACAAAATGCAGTGGCTAAGCAATCGTATTTACCCATGTTTTAAATTCTGCATCTAATTTGATATCTCCTTGCATCTCATTAGATTTTTGTATAAATGCATAATACAACCTTTCTGCAATCAAGTGTACACCTACTTGCAAGAAGGTTGTCATACAAGAATAGAACATTAGTAATTTAGTGAGAAATGAATACATTAAAAGACAAAAACGAAAGTTCAACTTCAGGGATCTTCTTTTGTTTTTTAATATAATTCCTATCCCACTAAATTACTAATGTTCTATTTTCGTATGACAACGTTCTTGCAAGTAGGTGTGTATAATATATATATATATACCTAACCAAAAAAATTGAGCAACTTTACATGTATGTTTATCTTTTGTTTTCTATTGTTTTGTCTTTTGAGAACAAAAGACATATATACATCTGAAATTACAGAATTTTTTGGTTAGGTATATATATATGTGTATTTAGGCTCACTCATGTAAGGCGCATTGAGGCTAGGAGAAATGCGCCGTACAAGCATCTATATATATTATTATTATCATCATCATCATCATTATTATTATCATCCTCAGCATCAATATTATTATTATTATTATTATTATTATTATTATTATTATCTGTCTCCGTGGATCAAGGGTTTTAAGGGTTTTTGAAGGGTTTTAAGGCAGTCAAATAAAAATAAGTATGCTCACAACTATTTTCGCTCACGGCTGCTTGTTGATTATTCACGCTTGACTTCCGTGTTATTCCTCGTCGTGTGCTGTTAGTTGTGAGCGTACTCATTTTTATTTGACTGCCTTAAGACCCTTCAATGCATATGAAATTAAAGGAAAATATTTGTAAAAGATACATCCTTTAGTGACTTCAGTTAGAAAAAATCGTTCGACGATTTTTTGAATGCCGCTTTCATCGATATTTTCTATCGCTTTTGACAACGAATTGGGTCATTTAGCTTCATATCAAAAAATCCATAACGTTAGAAAGAAAGTCACAATTTGATTCATACTCAATAAGGACAGTGTCTATATCCGTAHCTATATTCTAGCTACTAAAAATATTGAATCCACTAAATTAAAGTCCCGATTTTGAGGGTATGA